GGGTGGGCTGAGCTGACCATAAAAAAAAAAAAGAAAGAAAGAAATAAAGGAAACATTTAAAAAAAAAATTCAGTGTGAATCAATAAGCTAAAGCCTATGTTATAAATCATATTATTAATTATTCCAGGTGTAGTGAATCTTTATCAAACAAAACAAGATATAGGCTTGTTGCTAGATCAATTAGTTTGTAGCAGTTTATATCCTTTTCTTTTATCAAATACACAAGGAAAGTTTGAATATTGTATCTAAATAATGACTAGGGCTGTGGAGGACTACCTGGGCAACTCTCTCTGAAAGAAGAACAGTTGTCTCCATTTTGGCTAAGCCTGACCATATTTCCATATGTTGTTAGATGCAGAGCTGGCTAAGACTTTTCCTTATCCCTTCAACTGGTTTTAAGCAATGCATATAGGTCTAGCCGAGGTGCTGGCAGTAGTCTTTGAAGATTGCATGCATGTTTCCCCTGTAATCCCCACCTGCTGCTCTTTAATATGATCCAGTTAGAGACAGGATGAAGAGCCAGTGATCCATTCTGCAGCTGGGACTGAACCTCATGACAGAGGCTATGACTTCCTGGGGCTTGAAAGATTACACATCAGAGCTGAAGCACTGGACCCCAAAACATTTGATACTATCTCAGTTGTGTAATGCAGATTACTTTTTCTGCATATTGCATAAGTAAATACGGGCCTCCCACCTAGCCCAGCTCACAGTACTCACCTGCTATTTCTTCCTGCTATTCGCATATTCCCAGTCACTCCTCCTCAAGCCCCTCCTCCTTATGACTGAATAAAACCTGAGTTTGGCCCTGGGTCAAGGCCTTTGTTCTGGATAGCCATCACCAGGGCTGGACTTAGGACCTCTAGGCTCCCCATAACTATAAATATGCTTTAGTGCCTTTATTCTCACCATGAGTTACACTGGAAGTGGTAGATTGGAATTAACTTGCTGGGATTCCAATAGCTTATCCATGAGATTACAAATATAAACTTCCTAGACTGAGACAAGGACCAGAAAGGGCTCTCTATATAGGGCTATTGCTAATTTTTCATGTCTAATAAAAAAAAAAAAAAAAAAAAAAAAAGATAGAAAAGAAAATGAAGTCAGTCTAGCCTGTTGTGGTGGTACACACATGTAATTCCAGCGCTTTGGAGGCTGAGGCAGAAGGAACACTGTGAGTTCAAAGCCAGCCTGTACAACATCGTGAGACTGTCTCCAAAAAAAGTATCACTTTCTTCACAAAATATGATTTGTTTGGTTGATTTGACAAAGACTAAATAAGCAGGTAAAGGTATATATAGAACCTTCTATTCCACCTTCTAGACCACACTAACTAGATTATACTGTATGACCTTTCTTGAGGAAAATTCACATCTTCTCAGTTTTGACAAAAATACACTTAAATCAAACTATAACAAGAGCATTTCATCCAGAAATATTGTATAGGCAAATATGCTTTAAAACTAACATTATTTCTACTTTCTCAACTTTTCTTGAGAATAGAAAACTAAACAAGATGCCTCTCAGAGAAATAATAGCAGTCATTTGCTAAGCCTTGGTAATATCTTTTTAATATGTTTCCCTGAAATTGAGGCAATATATGGCTCCAATGACTAGGTAATGAATTTCTGCAAGTGGTCGTTTCCATTTCTCCTTCTGATAGAATTTTTAAAAGATCAGTCAAATGAAAGTTCATGGATAACTAAAAATAGTTTTTGGAGAATAGAATCTAGAATGTTTTGGCTTGTATGTCAGTAGTACAAAGAAATAGGTAATACTGATAAAGCTAACTTCTCTAAATCCCATCCACTTATGTATTAAACAAAATTTCCCATTGCTTACATCTATAAAAATAAAAATGAGTCACAGAATTGGCATAATTAACTAAATTCTTAAAAGTCTCATTTATCTTACAAAGAGATACACTTCCAATATATTTTTACTCATCAGTTTTTCATATTTGTATTATATATTTTTGTTTCAATAAATTGTTTAAAACGAATAGTTACAAGTCAATCCAGAAGAAATTTTTCTTTTCTTTTTTAAAATTTGGTATAGGGCCTCACTACGCAGCTCAGACTCATAGTGATCCTTCTGTTTTTCAGCTTCCCCAGCACTGGGATTACAGGTGTGCACCACGACACCCACCAGGATTCGGTGGCCTGCTCAGCATGCTTGGGGGTGGGCCCAGTGCAACATGGTGCTGGGGATCAACCCTGGTCCATGAGCTTGCCTAAGATGCTTAATCTGCTGAGCTATTTCACAGGACCCAGGAGAACTTTTTTTTTTTTTCAAAAAACATTTAAGACACTTATACTCACAAGCAATTAAAATCTCATACTTATATGTATGTGCATATTTTGTTGCAGAGAATTATAATGCTACAATCCATGAAAGAATTTTTAACATAAAGTGTTACTTTAGAATAAAACATGAGGGACAACATATTTTGACAAAGAACATGAATAAAAAGGAACACTAAAATTTCTAACCATTGGAGAATTAAAGTATTTTTAAATGGATAATGTTTAGTAAATATTATGTGGTAGTCTTTACTGCACACATTTTAAAGTGTGATTTTTTTTTTTAATGAAAAGTGACTTTTTAAAAAATGTATTTAGTACAGGGTCTATAGGGTCTCACTATACAGATCAGATTTCTAGTGATCCTCCTGATTTCAGCCTCCCAAGTGCTGGGATTACAGGTGCATGCTACCATGCCCAGTCTCAGCATGCCCTGGGGGCAAGGCGGGCACAGCATGCAGGGGATCCAACCCTGGTCCTAGTATCTGCCTAAACAGGCACTTTAATCTGCTATCTGGCCAGCGCTGATAACATTTATAAGATGCAACAATACTCTCCAATTTTTTAAACTCATGATAAAAAGTTCTATATATTGACTTTAAAATGTATGGGAAAGCCAGGTGTAATGGTGCACACCTACAATCCCAGCACTCAGGAGACTGAGGCAGGAAGATCACTGTGAGTTCGAGACCAGCTTGGGCTGCAAGGTGAACCAAAGTCTAGCTGGAACTATATAGGGAGACCCTGTCTCATAAAAACAAGCAAACAAAAAGTATTTACTGGGGCTGGAGAGATGGCTCAGTGGTCTAAAGCACCTACTTAGAACAAGTTCAGCGAAGCACAGGGAC